TAGTGCATGCAAAGAGATCGCATGGTGAGAGAGGAAGCCCCGGAGAGAATCCCAGAAAGCCAGACTTGTGGGAAAGTATCAAGCTGTCCACCATATGTGAAATTAGAATCCCAAATTTCACTTTTTATCTCCCAAAAGGAGAGGAAAAAGTGGGTTAAACATTTTTTTGAAGAATTATTGACTGCATATTTCAAAATTTGGACATAAAGAGAATCAGTTAATTCATATCTTTAGTAAATCTTGATCAATGTCAATTAAAAAATAAAACATACAACCAAACGCATATCTTACAAATGGCATAAACAACAAACATACACCAATCTTAAAAGCAGACATAGAAAAGAAAATATTGCATAGAAGAAAATTATTAGTGGAAACAACAGAGACCTGAAAAAAGAAAAAACTGGAACTTCATTTGTGGAAAAAAAAAATCTGTCAGTATAGATTTCCCATGAAAATTTTCTTCAAATCAAGATAATATCCAAAAAATTGTTGCTGAGGTCAATATCCAGCAGCTATTTCTACATGTGTTCTCCTAGGAGTTTTTTGTGATTTCAGGTCTTACATTTACGTCTTTAATCCATTTTGAGTTGAGTTATAGTTTAAGGTAAAGGTGCAGTTTTACTCTTTTCCATTTGGATATCCAGTTTTCCCAACACTATTTGTTGAAGAGACTATCCTTTCCTTATTATGTTGGTGGCCTTGTTGAGAATTAGTTGACCGTATATGTGTAAGTTTATTTCTGGGATCTTTATTCTGTTTAATTTGTTCTACGTGTCTATCTATATGATAGTACCATACTTTTTTGATTACAATAGATTTGCAATATAATTTGAAATCAGAAAGTGTGCTGCCACTAACTTGGTTTTTCTTTCTCAAACAATTTGAAATTTTGTGGTTTCACACAAATTTTCAAATTGTTTTCTATTTCTGTGAAATGTGCCAGAGCTCAGATAACGAAAGCAAAAATAAACACTCAGGGCAGCATCAAACTAAAAAGCTTCTGCTGAGCAAAGGAAACAATCATCAAAAGGAAAAGGCAGCCTACAGTTCAGAAGAAAATATTTACAGATCATATATCTGATACATGTTTAATACCAAAAATATATAAGGAACTCAATCAACTCAATACCAAAAAATATAATTGTAACCTGAGTAAAAACGAGCAAAGAATCTGAATAAACATTTCTCCAACGAAGACATGCAAATGGTCAGCAGGCATATGAAAAGGCACGCAACATCACTAATCATCAGGAAAACGCAAATCAAAACCACAAGATATCACCTCACATCTGTTGAGATGGCTTTTATCAAAAAAGACAAGAGATAAGGGTTGGAGAAGCTGTGGAGAAAGGAGAACCCTTTTGCATAGTTGGTGGGAATGTAAGTTAGCATAGCCATTATAGAAAACAGTATGGAAGTTTGTCAAACAATTAAAAATAGAGTTACTGTATGCTGAAGAAATTCCTCTGCTGTGTATGTATCCAGAATAAGTAGAGTCAGCGTTTTTTAGAGATATCTTCCCTCTCGTGTTAATTGCAGCATTATTCGCAATAGCCAATTCATGGAAACAATCGGAGTGGTGTCCATACACGGATGAACAGTTAAAGAAATAGTGACAGGTCTATATATATTGTGATTTATATTATATGTATATATGATATCGTAATATTATTCAGCCTTAAAAAAGGAGATATTGCCACTTGCAACATTATGTATAATCCTAGGTACATTTTGCTAAGTGAAATAAACCGGACATAGAAACAAATAAAGGCATGTTTTTACTTATATGTGAAGTCTCAAAAGAAAATAAAATCAAATACATAGAAAGAACATAAAAAGGGGAAGAAAGAAAAAAATAAGTCAAAGGTTATAAACTTGCAGCTCTGTAGGATAAATAAGTTTAGAGATCTAGTGTATGACATGAGGACTTAATACTGTACTGTAAGCTGAACATTTGTTATGACAGTAGATGTTAGATATCCTTACACAAAGAAAAAACAAAAGGTAACTATGGAAGGTGTTGGATTGATAGATTAATTTGCTTGGTTGAAGTAATCATTTCACTATGTACATGTATATCCTGTATTTTTTAAACAAGCTTACTTGTTTTAGATAAAAATCTTTTAAAAGGTTTTATTTAAAGCAAGTCAAATTTTTTTTTCCTAATTGTTTATGGTCTTTCATGTTATTTCCACTCCTAAAACTTATGTAAACCTTTGGATATAATGAGATATATGTTTTTCTCTATTTTTAATGTCAGTACTCTTTACAGCTCTCACTGTCTCTGGGGGTACTTCTGCCTCTTGTCATTCTGTTCAATCTTTATTTTGAAATTTTATATCTCTAGGCTACAACTCAGTGTTTTAAACAGTTCCATCAATTCCTCTATTAACTGTTTATGAACCACAGAGAATGAGAATTATATATTCAAATCTTTTTTGAACTTTCGTGTCTGAGTTTTTTTTTTTTTAAGGTAAAATAATTTTTTAATAGCATCTCTACAGTGAAGTTATAGAAACAAGATAAAAGTGTAGTTTAGAGTTTCGGCTTTGGAGCCAGCTGCCTGAGTTTGAATCTCACCTGCTTCCTAAGTTTAGCCACTGGTATTGACGTTACTCAATTTTGGTTCCTCAAGTTTTTCATCTAAAATGTAGGGGGCATAAATCAACCTAATGTGAAAGACCCTAGCTCCTGGGAAAGGTGCTGTGTAGCTTAGAGTATAAACATAAGAATGTGGTGTGGAATTTCTGGAATATTTCAATGCCCTTGTAATTTCTAGAATATTTCAGTGCCCAGTAGCAGAAGAAGGGTTCTGCTAGCCCTAGCTATCACTATCATAAAATTACTATTTTTATCACTCAATCTCCAATATAGTATATGTACCTAGTAATTACTAAAATAGAAAGGCTTCTCATTAGATAAACAACTAAATAATGACTGCTTGTTAAAGCTCTGAATGGCTTTTTGCCCAAAGCATCCAGTATCATTTTTATCTGGATATTTTTCCCTGCTGGTAAAAATAGTTAACACTTTTCCTTATCCACCCCCAGTCCCCCACAGAGACACCAGATCCACTATCACTCTCTATCTGGGTGTCTGAGATCTTGAAAATCTGCAGTGCTGATACCTCAGCATGGAATGAAGTGAACCAAGAATCTCTCTCTAACTTTGGTTTACAAGGATTTGCACCCATTTCCTGATGGATATTAAGCTCATTTCTGGGAATATGTAGCAAATTTGACATGTTATGTCTCATGTCAAAGTTTGCTTGACTCAATCTGAAACTAATCTATTTGGCAAATTTTTCTTTCTGTTAGTTTATACCCTCATTATTACAGTGCCTCCCATCCTCAGCCTAATTTCATCTTTTTGGGGAGTAAGTACTTGGTGGAACACATAGAGGCAATGAGGAAGCTGGTTTATGCAGCTGAAGAGAGCAACAAAGGAAACAGATAATCCAAACCAGAGTCCTGAACTACACCAGAGATGCCTTTCTCTCTTCCCATGGAGTTGCAACTTGATTTTTTCCAAACTAGATCTCTTTGCTAGGGAATGAAAAAGGAGGCCTAGGTTTTTCTTTCTTCTAGGAATTTCTAAAAGAGTTTATTCAGAAGCCATGTTCTAAAGATTTTAGGGAGTCTTGGGATGATGCATTCTTTGCCCCATCACATCTTGACTGATACATTACTGCCTTTGCCTTTCTGCAATCTCCAGTAAACCAACTGCCTACTCCCCATTCTGCCCTGCAATGCCCTGTGGCCTATGCTGAGCCTCCAGGCCAACACACACTGGAGCTACTTACTGACCTGTTCATAAGTCTGTTCATTGTTGCCATAGATGTAACTATAAACCCCTAAACCTGGTCAGGATATTGGATCCAACACCACTTTTTTAGATTATACTCAAAAGCCAAGTTGCAAAGAACATTAGTTTCAGAAATTCCCCCATAAGTCACACTTCTCTCTCTTGCCTGCATTATTCTCCCAGACTGAGGGATTTGAAACTTCGGAACAGTAGTCTCTAAGGTTTCTTCCTGGGTCTAGATTTGGGAATTAGCCTCATCTCCAGAAATAAGATTTATTTTAAGCATCACATGGAGGTAGAAAAGAAAATGTTGGCAGGATGGCCTTTTTGCTGCAGATTTTTAAAAGAACTTCCAGGACCTTGTCTCTGTATTGAAACATATGTTACTCTAGGAATCAGAGCAGGGCATTACATTAATCCTTTACGAAAATTTCACCACCCTACCTCCCTTGACTCTATTTCTTTTTTTTTAATTTTTAAGGTAATTGTAAGAGATTTTCCAAGGTTTATTTGAAATGACACAGCACTGAAAACATAATTGTCACACATGACTTGCGGATGCAGTAAACATCACCTATATTACCATAGGACAGTCTGTGAAGATGAATTGCATAAATATAAAGCAATGGAAATATATAGGAGCTGTTCCTACAGTGTTCTTTTTGGGATAAATGAATATGTTCCATCTTTCGAGCCAATCTCATAAAGACAAAAGAGAAGACTACTTAGCTGCTCATCCCAACTAGTCTACCTCCAGCTGCAGTGGCTCCCATCTGAGCAGAGGAATAAGATAATCTTGTACTGCAGAATAATTAATCACATCTTCTGTAGGGCAGCCCCTCAATACCATGCACCTGGTGCAGATAAATTAAAATCTAGTCTGGAGAAAGCTGCTTTACAGTTGATGGGAAGGGATTGAGTACAAGAGAGTCACCACAGCTTGGACAAGGCCCAAGGTTTATATAAACTATAAATACATAAATTATATTTAATATATGTTTAAATTACAAATATTTATATATTTAAATTATAAATACATAAATTATAAATTTAATATATATAATAGTGTGTGTGTGTATGTGTGTGTGTATGTGTATATGTATACTTATGGTGCCAGACATAGGCTAATGAAATAGTGTGAGTTAAACTACCTGGAAAAAACAACATCAGTTGAGCACTGAGATGTGCATATTTTATATCATATACAAATCAGCAATAGATGGGCAGGGTGAAATAATGTTCTAAGGAGCAGAAGGATTGGTTGATTTCCACTGAAATGCTGAGGGATTTGTTAGTTCTCACTGCAATGACTTTCCCTAGTTACTTATGGCAGCAATGTTGTCATCCTGTCCAGGTTTCCTGAATTATTCCTCAGAAAGCAGTGAAACAAAGTTATGCCTTAGAGTGATACAGGGAGAATAAGTGAAGTACACCACTCTGAATCTGCTTAGTTTTAATGCTATAGATAACCGGGTTCATAAAAGGTGGGAAAAGGAAGTGGATGTAGCTCATTGTAATGTGAACCACATGAGGAATGTGCTTTCCAAACCTATGAATAAACGTCAGACCAACTACGGTGACATAGAAGACCAGGATGCAGCAGATATGAGAGACACATGTGTTGAGGGCCTTGACCCTTTCTTCTCCAGAAGCAATGCCCATGACAGTCTTGAGAATCAAAATGTAGGAGAAAAAGATGATGAGAAAGTCCAACAAGACCATTGCAAATACAGCTACAACTGGATAGAGTCGATTGAAGGTGATATTAGCACATGCTAGCTTGATGATGTCTTGGTGTAGACAGAAAGCATGGGAGAGCACATGGGATCGACAATAGGGAAACCAGTGTAGGCGAACAACTATTGGCATAATGGACAGACCAGCCCTTGTCAATACCGCCACACCAATCTTCATTACCTGGATGTTGGTCAGGATAGAGGTATATCTTAAGGGGTTGCAGATGGCAATGAAACGGTCATAAGCCATGGCAAGCAAGACACCTGACTCCACGACAGAAAGAGTATGGATAAAATAGGCCTGTGAGAAGCAGGCTCCATGGCCAATCTCCCTGTGATTTGGCCACAGAACACCTAGCACTGTAGGCATTGTGGTCAATGTCACTCCGAGGTCTGTAGCTGCCAACATAGCTAAGAAATAGTACATGGGCTCATGGAGGTTATGATCATTCTTGATGAGGAAGAGAAGAGTACTATTGCTAAGAAGTATGGAAATGTAGACTACCAATAACAGGATGAATATCCAGTGATGTGCTTTCTCCATGCCTAGGAAGCCAGTAAGCTGGAAAGTGGAAGCAGTGTTATTGAGCCTCATTGCCAGCCTTGCAAAGAGGAAAATATTTACTCCAGGTAATGCAATAGAAATCAGTTGTATAAAAGTTGCTCCTTGAGAATTCCACCTGTTCATTCGGTGTTCACCGGCCTGACTTTCAAAATTATCATCTTTGTGACAACAAAGATGATAATTTAGTCATTTGTGAGAGATTCCTAGGTATGGGAAAATAGAATGTATGAAGAAGATATTAGTTTGCTATATGTAAGATGATAGGATAATATGCTGGGGACACAGCTATGCATGCAGAATAAACATTGTTGAATTCATTGTAAATCATATAACCCAAAAAATAGAAACAAAATGAAAGAAGAAATCACTATATTTGAAAAGAGCTGTAATGGCTTGAAACGTACAGCTCCATTTTCATGGTGCTCTTCATCTTGACTGGTAGTATTGAGGTAAAGCTTTCTCAGACTTTTTGAGACCTAAAAGATCAGTAGAAAAATGGTTCTGTTGGAAGAGTAAATATACACATCCTATGGAAAAACAAATACACAAGTAAGAAATATATGAACAAATATAGTAAAATAGTAAATTTCACAGAATGATTTTTCTTCAATATGTCTGGAGGAAAAATTCAATTGGTGAAACTCTAGAGACTTTTGGGTAGCTAGAAAGTAACATAAAAGAGCAACTTATTTGTGTGTGTTTCCAAAGCACATAGAACTCTATATCACCCAGCTTTGTTACCCTAGTTATTGGTGTGTTGCTTCAAAAAGCTCAAATTTTCATAATATAGATTTAAGAATAAGCAACAAAATGTGGATTTGATGATAAGCATTTGAAGGCACCAATTGATAACAGCATCAGAAAAAAACTACTGTTGCATATCACTTACTTGGGGATGCAAATATAAAAATTGGTAACTTAGGTAAGATCAATGAGATTTTTTTTTACAGCTTTGGAGTCTGATGGGATTTAACCAAAGTGAGAAGGCTCTGTGATTCATTAGAATTCTAAGATTTCAGCTGGTCCAGGCAGCCAACATCTGAGAATACATAAAGTATGTGTTGGTGGCATGAGTCAGAGAAAATAGGGGGCCCTCAATCCCCTGTGGTTGGTTTGGACTATACATCTCGTATACTATAGAAAGAACATATCGATGTAAATTTATGCATGACTTACAAAACCTCTTTCTGAACACGAAATTAATGAATCAAAGATTACTGGACTTTCATATTCAGAAGAATTGGTTGAAGTTCCAGTTCTGCTCTTTCTAACAGTAATGATCATGGGAAAGTCATTTAATCTTGACATTCAGTGACAAAACCAGTAAACCATACTAGTGATTTCTGTTTTCTCAATCATTCTCTTGACACAAAGTGTGGGGAAATGTTTTGTAAAGAGTAGATAATTTTTTTATTTTTGTGTTGTTGTTATTGTTTCAGAGAAGAGCCTCCTTTCCCTTTCTCTGGTGGGTACCTGTCAGGATTATTCACCCAGAGGTGTGTCAAATGATTTCATTGTTTTTAATGGAATCTTTGGGAACAGATATAGGATGATGATGGGATTTTTAGGAGTCTGCGTTTGATTTTAAATAAAAATATTAAGCTACAGTTTCTCTAATCAGCAGATAAAAGGTGATATATCTCGGTGGGAAAGCGAAAGGAGAAAAGAGTGATGAGTCAGTGTGGGAACTTCTGACACAGCTAAAAGCGACATTGAGCCTGGGGCACTGGGACCGAGGGTTGTTGTGGGGAAAGCAACCCTGTCTTCAAAAAGTGAGATATTGCTTAATTCACCTGCCAGTGAAAGATTCAGACAATACTCAGCTTATGCAGGATTAAAGAAACAGGTATGGCAAATAAAAATTGTAATAAAGTACAGAGCTTGTTGTTTTATTGTAGGTGTCCATTGTGAAATGATTACCATAATCAAACTAATTAATGCATCTATCGTCTCACATAATAATATCAATATATTTGGTAGTGAAAATATGTGAGACCTGCTTTCTTAGCAAATTTCAAGTACATCTAAATAAAGCTGGGAGGGAAAAGGTAATACAGAACTTTAATCTAGTTAATTGTGTTATATTACTCCTAAATAAACATATAAGTAAATAAATAATAAAAAGAAAACAGGAGTAGGAAGAAGATAGGGAAAATAAAGCTAAGAAGCAAATGTAAGGAAAAAATAATTATTGAATTTCTACCCTGTGTCAAGTATTGCACAGGGGCATAATATACACCTCATTTTTGGGTTAGAATCCTTACCATAGCTGTTTGTCTTATTGGCTTTCATACTGAAAAACTGAGTGCTTTCACTTGATTCACTCGGTTGCTTTTGTGATACATGAGATGATTGGTGAGATATGAATACACATCTAAAACTTTTGCCTCATTCCTGCAGCTACTGACCTCCCAGGCTCTCTGTCATAGAATAGACTTGAGTTTTTATTAATAAGAAACTAATTCTCAAAGTCTCAAACTCTGCCACACAAACTGATAGCTCTTTGCAGACACCTAAGAGAGAGCCCATTCAGATGTCAACTTTTACATGCTCTCTCACCTTCCCCTCAGCTTTTTTCCTTCACGTTTCTTGATCCTCTTTTCTAACTCAAGCACTTCATCTCTCCATCCCTTTTTTAACCCTCTTACCTTTGTCTCTTATCCTTCCTGTAATGGTTAATATTGAGTGTAAACTTGATTGGATTGAAGGATGCAAAGTATTGTTCCTGGGTGTGCTGTGAGGGTGTGGCCAAAGGAGATTAGCATTTGAGTCAGTAGACTGGGAGAGGCAGATCCACCCTAAATCTGGGAGGGTGTCATCTAATCAGCTGCCAGTGTGAGTAGAATAAAGCAGGCAAAAGAAGATGGAGGAAGAATAGTGGATGCCTACTATACAACATAAACTTCTCCAGGTGCTATAGTCACACTGCTACGTGAATCTCTGTTTTTTATCCTTGGTCCAGAGGCACACATAACCCAATCTGCATCTAAGCTTAATTTTGAATTGGTTTATAAGTCACATAGTCAGATAGTGACTTTTTCTAAAAAGCATTTGAAACTCTGATGATTGCAGATGTATACCTCCTTCAAGAATTTGGAAGAGATGATTCCATATTTGGTGGTTATCTGGGCTTCTAGGGTAACAGGCATGGGGTCAGGGGCAAGGGGACTCTCAGGGTTAGAATGGAAAACAGAAATCAGTCAGGAGGAGAAAAATTGATGTAACCCCATAATTCATACCTGAGTCAATACCCATGCTCGGGTTTGCTTCCAGAATTCTTTGTCTCATGTGTTCCAGAATCTATGCTTTACGTTTTTTATATTTGAAGAGATAACTATCAAAGAAACCAAGGTTTAGGATGTCAGGGAGTCTTTAGGACCCATGCTCACTATATACAGCTACTCTTGGCAGACAACATTATTACTCTTCTCTTGCTGAGAAATTGGCTTCAATTTCCCTGTCTCTCTGCCTTGGTTCCTGCAATGAGACCTTATAGAAAAGAATCATTAAATATCCTCACTGACTTGAAATTTTGTTCTCTTTCATTCTTCAGTTTCATAGTCATGCATCTCACATTTTTAGCTTCATGAAAGATTTGGGCATCATCTTTTCAGAATCTGCACATAAGTCTGACTGGTAGGAACATTTATTTTAGAAGCTCCTCCCCAGAGACTATTCCTGATTTAGATAATTATTATTCCCTCCCTCCCTCCATTCTCTGCTCCCTCCTCGCCCCACCCCCCAACCTCCTTCCTTCCATCTTTTATCTATTATCTGTGCCCTCAGCCTTGGGAGTATTAGGCTTTGAACAGCACAACCCAAGATCTCTGTCTGTGTCCTGGCTTTTACCGTTGCTAGGAGAGTGGTTTCTATCAGGACAAGGAAGTCAAAGTAGAACAGTTAGGGATCTGGACCAGAGGAGTTCTTGGGGTGCACTTTTTTCTAGCTGTGTTTGAGAACTCCCAGTCCCTGTGCTTAAAATCAGGAATGTGTGAAAATGAAAGGAGGACAGGACATCCATTTTGGTAAAGTAAAGAGTTTCTCCCATCACACTCTTTTTCCCCAAGTGCTGATGTCTGACTGCAGCCAACATGAGCCCACAGCCCTGTCTCAGAGAACTGGATCCCAGGAGAAGGGAGCAGTCCTTTCTAGTCCTTGATTTTGCTTTACCCTTCTCTCTACATCCTCAATCTCTAGGTTCTCCTAAGAAGACAGAGCAAGAAGTCATGTTTGTTTTTTTTTTTTTTTTTTTTGACGGAGTTTTGCTCTTGTTACCCTGGCTGGAGTGCAACAGCGCGATCTCGGCTCACCGCAACCTCCGCCTCCTGGGTTCAAGCAATTCTCCTGCCTCAGCCTCCAGAGTAGCTGGGACTACAGGCTGCTCCACCATGCCCAGCTAATTTTTGTATTTTTAGTAGAGATGGGTTTTCACCATGTTGACCAGGATGGTCTTGATCTCTCGACCTTGTTATCCACCCGCCTCGGCCTCCCAAAGTGCTGGGATTATAGGCATGAGCCACCGTGCCTGGCCAAGAAGTCATTTTTAATTGTTACGACTAAGGTGTGGAGGACAGGCATTACATTGCTAATGGCCTTTCCTCTGTTGGAAGTTGAATGCTTTGTCTATATTGTGGCTCTGGCTCTTTCTGTGCTACTTTGGAATTATTTTACCTCACTATATTTCTTAGTCCTTACCTCTAAAATGCATATAATAATTGCCATCACATGAAGTTATTGTGCATGGTTTAAACAGGAAGCACTTGAAATGGCACTCAACATTTAATAAACAATTCATCTCAAATATTGTCATCTCTGTCATAACCAATTAAACTTATTTTAATTATTTGCATTTTGGATTATCTTCCCTTATTGTATAGTGAACTATATGAGAAACAGACTCTATCTTTCATAATTTTATGGCACATAGATGTTCAAGTGATTAAACCATGTAATCAATGTTATATTCTCCAATTTCTACCATTGGAGATAGATGACCTTACAGGCAATTTAATAGTTCTCTGATTTAGAGAGAGCAATTTTCACTTCTAGATTAAACCACTACCCCATGAACACTATTCTGCTTAGCAAATATATATTTTTAACATCTGTAAATAGTAATACAGATGTATGTATAAAGGATATATGATGAACACACAAATGCATTTGTTTTTCTCATTCAGCAAATGGTGAGATTTAATTTATTTTGATGGTTGATAAGTTAAATTAAATATTTGGTTACTGATACAACAATGATGAAAACAGTATTGAGAAAGTATATTATACAGAGCAGGAAGGTCTTAAATGAGCCTTTTGTTATTTAGTAAAAAATTATTAAGGTTAATTTACATAAAGAAATGTGAACACATCATAAAGGTCTAGCTCATTGAATCTGTTGCAGAATAAGTTCACTCACATAGTTGCCACCCAGAACAAGAAATAGAACTTTAACAGTATCTCAGAAATTAATTTCTACTCCATTCACATTCACCTTCCAGATTACTAAATTGTCACCTGTATGTAAGTGGAATTATAGTCTATCTTTTCTTTCCTGTCTTGATTCTATGCTCATCATTATGTTTTTGAGAAATATCTGTGTGTTTTTGTGTGGTAGTAGTTTGTTCATTTTCATTCCTATACAATATTACCATTGTATGATTATACCCCGTATTAACTCTGCTGCTCTTGACAGTTAAGAGTAATAGTTGGGGCTGTCACAGAATGCTACTTAGATAATTCTGCTACATGTTTATTAGATTGTTTGTTTTTGTGCATATACATATGAATTTCTATTAGGCCTCATCATGGGAATAACTCCTCGGGTAAACATATGCTTATCTACAATAGATACTGTCAAATAGTTTCTAAAGTGATAATTTGTTAAAAATATATTCTACTAACAGTTCACCAGCATTTCAATTGGTTACATCTTTAACAACACTAGGTGTTTTGGGGTTTTTGAAGAAGTCATTTTACTGCATGTGTACTGGTATCTGATTTCCATATCAATAATTTTAACATTTTAATAAAACTACATCGATGAAATCCTTGCCTTATTTTCACTCAGCAGAATTTTATTTTATTAACACTCACTACAGATCTTTGTATAGACATAAGGGTTCATTTCTCTGAGAAAATATCCAAGAATGTCTTATTAGCCTAAGTGTATCATCAACATTTTGTAATAGGCAGCATTAATTTCTATACATATTTATTAAGTTTATACTGAAATATACATTCAGTATTGAAAAGGGTACGTAGCTTGCCCATGTTTACATTGCTGGAGAATTAATTTTCTAGGGCTTCTATAACAAAGTACCATAGACTGCATGATTTAAACAATAATAACTAATTTTTTCTAAGTTCTGAAAGCTAGAATTCCAGAGTCAATGTGTTGGCAGGCTTGGTTTTTTCTTAGGCCTCTTTCCTTGGCTTGTAAATGGCCATCTTTTCCTTGTGTGTTCACATGGTTTTCCCTTTGTATCTGTCCATATCCAAATTTCCCCTTCCTATAAGGACACAAGTCATATTCAATTAGGATGCACCCTATTGACCTTGTTTTAACTTAACTACTTCTTTCAAGACCCTATCTCTAAATGCAGTCATATTCTCAGGTACTAGGGGTGAGTACTTTAGCATATGAATTTTGGGTTGGGACATGATTCAATTCGTAACAGCTAGTGAGAGTCTTGGATTTGCATTGAGCATTACATTAATTACAACATGGCTTGGTAACAGCTGAAAAATTTATTTGGTGAAAGGAAATTTGTTCTCGTGGTAATATATTTATATATTTACATATTTGTGTATATTTGTATATTTCCCCTTAAAACTAGTAGCAGGCAGAGTGGTTCCTGTCAGGATTGGAGGGAAAACCAAAAATATTATAGACCCTGGGACTAAAGTGACGTGGTGTGCTTGGCTGAAGCACCATGTGATAAGCATGCCTGCTGCATTCCCTGGAAAAGAGAAAACTCCTGGTGAGCTAAACTCAGCAAGGGAATAGTGATAACCACAGATTGTGGGTTCACGCTGGGTTCTAGAGAAGGCTGCCTATATTTTATCACATTGACTCTAGTCCATCTAGCTCTCTGCTTTCAAGCTTTCTCTGATATAAACCAACCAGGATATATTATTGAAATTCAGGTTATGTAGGCCAAGAAGATGTATAGCTTCCTCTTGAAATAAACTGGGAAACATTCCACCTTTGAAGTAAATGCAGGGAATAAATTGCCTCCCAAAGGTGATACCGGGGTCTGCTGGGGCAATAAAGACAGGCTCTCTGATTCCCCACACATAAAGCTCCTACCAGTGGCTTGATTAGCCCAGTAACTTATTTGGAAAAAGATTATTTAAGAGCTTGGGGGACTAATTAAGTGTTCCAGCTCCCTCATAGAAGGAGTTAATACAGAGTAAATATTTCTTAAGATCTAAGTTGGCTATAAAAGGGAGACACCTGGGAAGGTGTTGTCTTTATTAATAACCTCAGTGACTGGCTCACTTATCAGGTGTCATGAAAGAACCACAGGATCTGAGCCTTTAGGTAAGACATGATAACCCTGCTCCTACTCATCATCAATCAAGCTATGGTACAGGGGAGTATGGTGTAATACCTCCAGAAGTGTAAAGAGTGTACTAGGAGATTCCTCTATAAGTGCTCCAGAGAGAGATAAAGAAAAGAAGTAAAAGATCTCAATAGTGCACAGCTTTATGTGTCCACAGATCTCAGCCTGAAGTTGATAGCACTTCAAAAGCAATTCCAAGTACCTAAGACCTTCTGTACTCAGTGATGTGAATATGGTTCAATTTCCCATATGTCTCCTTTCCTTTCTAAGAGATGTATGTACAGGAAGGCATCTCTTTCTTCTACTAGGTTTTACTTTTCAAACAAAGCAGAAAAAAATTATGGCTGTAAATGGCAGAAGTTTATCTGATTTTCTAGGTGTTCAGTTTAGCAACTTCTTCTTGGTTCTATCCTCAGTCTTTGTAATCTCTTTCCTTCCCTATATTTTTTCCTCAGCTTTTGTCTCTTTCCTCATGGTCTTTCTTCTGAGAATCCAAGAGCAGTGACTAGCTGAAGACATGTGAATTTTCCACAAAACGAAGTAGAGTGATTCTATAGATCACTATTCTAGCTGCATTACAAAGTACGCCTGCATGGAATTCTTGGGAATGGAGAAGGGGAAACTTTAAGTTGCAGGTTGTTGGCAAAATGCAATCATTCCCCTACACTTTTGTTAGCTTTACCTGTACTGATTCATCACTTGTGCTGCATATTCTTTTATAGCAAGGAATTTTGCACAAAGTTGAGATACAGTGAGAGATTGGGTTAAAGGATATTATTGCTGAAAGGTCAGAGAAGTAAGGGTGTTTACAGAGAAAGGAAGTTGTACGTAGAACACAGAAGAGGAGGAGCTGAGCTGGATTATCTTTGCATCTAGTAACTGGAGAATATACACCACTCATTATATATTTCAATAGGCACTGAATTCTGGTTTATGTCTCTTAGTCTTAGGACAGAATATGGATGCTGAAAAATGATTCTTTCAATTTTTTATTCCTTAACATCAAGCCAAAAGTGCTAAGTTGTTGCCTCATGCCTAGTTGTCTGGAACCTCTTCACTGAAACGATTACAGTTAGATCTCATCTGTATGGGTGGAAGGTAAGAGGATCATTTTCTTTGGTGGCATTTTTAGGGTAGTGACTTATGCTGACAAAGAAACTCTGAAGGGGTACATTTGAATAAGACCATCTTTTTAATTTAGGATAAAAACAACTTGAAGAAGCTGTTCTGGTATGTGACAAGAAAAAAAAAGCAAGGCATGGATTTGCTCTAATTCAGCTATATTTACGAATAACTCTTGATTTCCTCATAAGTAGATATGGATCCTCCTCAGACTTCCTTTTTGGGTAAATGGCTTTACCATTCTTTCATTTGCGCTAGCAGAAATCTAGGTGAAACCTCATTTCATTCTTCCTCACTCCCATTTTTAATATATCAGCAAATCTTGACACTACCTCAAAAATGTGTCTGTTTGTTATAGTGGTCTATTTTTTCTCTTTGTTTCATTTCCCCTGTTTCTTCCTGGTCAAGGTCACCATCATTCTTCATATGGATTTTTAAAGTAGCTCTCTAACTCATCTCTTCCCTCTTGCTCAGTATTCTTCACATAGCAGTCTAAGTGAGTAATCTAAAAATACAAATCAGAATATATCACATCACTATTTTGCAAATGTTGTCTTTACTACATTTACACTACAAACAAAACAAAACAAAAAATCCCATTGTGGTCCATAAGGCTCTGTGACACCTGATTCCTACCTGCTTCTTTGACATTATCTATTGTATTGTCCTACACCTGTTTTCTTACCAAACTCTAGTCATGCTGATTTTCCCTCTGGAACAGTCTTCCTCTAGATCTGTATATGGTCAGGTTTTTTTGTTGTTATTCAGGTCTCAGCTCAAAAGGAACCTCTTCATAGGTGGAGTTCTAAGCCCCTCAAACTGCTATCCTAACCTGTATACAATATCATTGAATTTATCTCCATTAAGTAGTACTGTTTTATGTTAAACTTGTACTTATATTTATTTAAAATTGTCTTATTTATTTTTCAACTTTATTTATGGTTTCTAAGAATAGGGATTTTGTCTTATTGCCATTTAATTCCAGAGAGCTTTAAATGTCATGGCTGTTACATGATGGGTATTCAAACATATTAGGTGAATTAAGGAATGTATATTAGCCACATATTAGATACATTGCAAAATGTTGAGCAAAGCAAATAAACACCATGTCAATATGCAAGAAGCCCCTAGTTTAGTGTCAGAAGGGATGGTAAAGCCTTCTCAAAGGACTAATCCCTTCAGTAAAAGACAGCACCCTGTTTAAGCAGTGAAATAGTTCTCACTCAATATTGGGGAGATCAGATTCAGAAGCCTATGGCTGAGGATAAAGGGAAGGAAACCAGGAAGATGGTTGTGTAAATACAAATGGAGAGCTTGAAATGAAAGAGATCAGACTCTAGGGAGTTACTTCAGTGGCCCTACAGAAACATAATTAAAAAAGAAAAATACACTACTTGTAAATAAAAAAAAGTAAGATGTTTAAACTGAAAGAGATACACTATTTTCAGTGATGTCTTTGGCTGTCCTGATCAGTTATTCCAGCCAAAAAGTCTATGACTATCTAACTATTAGACTGAGCCATTGTCACAAGGAGTGAGTAGTACTGCAGGCTCCAGCAAGAGGGTAATTCACACTAATCATGAATGTCTGTTCCCCATCACTAGTCCATGAAATCAGGAGGTCACGTGTCTCTTTCTCAATGTCTGCTCCTAAGCTACAGTAGTAGTGGAAGAGTTTCTCTTCCCACACTTTTCCCTCTTAGGCTGTGGAGACTTCAGCTGATAATTCAGATGAGTCTTCATATACAAGAAAATGTGGATTAAGGATCACTACTGTGAAAGCAGTTACAGGTTAGGTAGTAGACTAGAAAAAAGTTAGTGTTGGGTTCCTTGAAATCCACTTGAATGCCCCATAGAATACGTATTCTTTAAAATCTGCGTAGTTAAGGGAAACAGTTTAGAAGTTGAAGTTTGCATAAAAAAATTTCTGGAGAGAATGCTTAAATGCATAGAAACAGTTGAAACTCCAAGAATTTGATTAAGTAGGTAGGAGATAGCACCAGGAACGTGCAGTTAAACACTACGGGTAACCCTAAGAATGTATTTTGAGAAACAATCACTTATATTGATGTCATTATTGTCTTCAGGAAAAAATTCTGAGAATGATATGTTCAAAGTGCTACCTTGAAGTTAGAACTGCGCATTGTGGTAACAACAGAAAGAGAAAGACATTTCTTATGTATAAGCTCAGGATGTGGTCCAACAGCAGCTCCCCTTCCTTCTTGTTGACTGGTTTTCCAGGCTTGGAGGCAACTCATCACTGGATTTCCATATTTTTCTTTTTCATCTATATCTCTGTCCTTTTCGGCAATGGCACCCTCCTCCTTCTCATTAAGGAAGACCACAGTCTTCATGAACCCATGTACTTCTTTCTCGCCATGCTGGCTGCCACCGACCTGGGGATGACCCTGACCACAATGCCCACGGTGCTGGGAGTCCTCTGGCTGGATCACAGGGAGATTGGAAGTGCAGCCTGCTTTTCCCAGGCCTACTTTATACACTCACTTTCCTTTGTGGAGTCTGGTGTTCTGCTCATCATGGCCTATGATCGTTTTATTGCCATCTGCAACCCTCTTAGATATACCTGTATACTTACTAACACTCGAATAATGAAGATTGGACTGGCAGTTCTGATGAGAGGATTTGTATCTGTTGTTCCCCCAATCATGCCCCTCTATTTTTTTCCCTATTGTCACTCCCATCTTCTTTCACATGCATTCTGCCTTCACCAGGATGTCATTAAACTGGCCTGTGCTGATACCACCTTCAACCGACTATACCCAGTTGTACTTGTAGTCTTTATATTCGTGCTGGATTCTCTGATTATCCTAATCTCTTATGTGTTGATACTCAAGACTGTCCTGAGCATTGCCTCCAGAGAGGGGAGGCCCAAGGCCTTCAATACTTGTGTCTCCCATATCTGCTGTGTCCTGGTTTTCTATGTCACAGTGATTGGATTGTCTCTGATTCATCGTTTTGGAAAGCAGGTTCCACATATTGTTCACCTCACTGTGAGCTATGTCTATTTTCTGTTCCCTCCACTAATGAATCCTATAATATATAGTGTCAAGACCAAGCAGATTCGGAATGGTATTCTTCACCGTTTTACTACCCGTAGAACTGGAACCTGATCTCTGATCATCACAGTCATGCTCACAGAATGTAAAAACTCTAATATTTAGGGGGAGAGCAAAGAAGTGTCATATCTAGCATGCATGTTCATATATCTTGGTAAAATAGATGTTAAAATAGAGTTTCAGATTTCCCTAAGGCATCTTTTTAAGCCCAAATCTTTAGCTAAATGTAGTTTGCACAAATTTTTGTTGCATTCCTGCATATTGAATATTTCTCTAAGATTTCCACTAAGTTATTGTGATAACAATACCTTAGGCATCTATTGGTGTGTCTATAATGTAACTAACATGTTTATTTCATGGTATAAAGTTAGCAGATAGGAACAGCAATAAGAATATAAAATTATTAGTTGGTTTGAGTGAAATGGAATAGAGTTTGGTTTACTATATCAAATCCAATTTCCAACTCTTATGAATTCCTCTGCAGATGTCCATATAAACAATGGGGACCTATAAGTTTGGACACTGAAGTCCAGGAATTTTCCTGCAAAAAAAAAAATGTAATCTTTGATTAGTGACCTAATCACTTATCATCCCAACAGTCTAGTTGGCTCCTCCTTTCTCCATCAAATGATCATAAGTTTGTCTCAAAGACCATAAACTCATATTTATTCCCCAAGACAGTTCCTTCCTACAAACTTTTAACAAAAAATGTGAGAAGAGGAATCACGGATGAATGAGAAGACACAGACACAGTCAGTACCTCCTATTTTGCTCTCATTCTTATCCTACTACCCTCGTTGTTAACTCTGATGTTGAAGCCATCCCAAGATATCTACCCATGGATAACTAGTCTGAATTAGTGGAAGAGACAGTTCCTTCACTCTCCTTCTGCTATGAACAAGGTCTGAAGGCTCAAAAAATAGGTTGATGCATTTTTTGAAGAATGATGGCTGTCTGTACATATATAGTCTGATTCCATTTTATAAGTGTAAATTTCCCAAAAAAATACAACAATTTCATTTCTTATTTGATTAAAATGTGTCTAATGCGTTAGGAAGGGACTCATCCCTCAATTTAAAATATCCTAGAAAGAGAGAGGTTATGTCTTACTTACACTTTAATCAGAGAAAAAATAATACTTCAGTGAGAGAGGAGAGGGGTCTCTATGGAAGATACTGTTTATGTCTTTGGTGTTTTGCCCAGATAATTTTACATAACTGTGCACCTGTGAATGTTGGCTGCTTGTTGTTCATGGTTTCTGCATTCTGCAGAGTGTTCTCTACTCAGTAGGAAATGTCTCATGAAGAAAATGGCCCCTGCTCCCCAGGATGCAGGCCATAGGCAAATATTGACCCTCTTGCTTCTAAAGCTAAGCTCCAGCTGTGACTGTGCACTTGCTTACCTCCTTCCTTTGGCTATGCTACTTTTTCTTGCTCCCTGTCTCCTGAAAGCATTCACTAATAAATGACACACATCTGAATCTACCTCAGGCTTTGCTCAATGAGAGTCCAGCTTAAACACTGCACTCCTTATTCATATTTTGTTTCATTAAGAAATGTGATTGGGAAAGAACTGAGCATGTAGGAAAAACTATGGGCTTTATCATTTTTTTCATCCTTGTCACTCCATGTCATCTGAGCAACACAGTCTGAATGCTCAATTGTGAGTGTGAGTACATGTATGTGATGCTAGGTTTTTGTCCTGCTTTCAATCATTCAGGAAAGCAATCATGTGTCCCTCAACTTCTTCTCTACCACATCCACAACTTATTTTATTAATAAGAATATTGTGAGGTAGATATTATCATTATTTTCTTGTGGGGGTGAATTTAATATAAAAAATTAAACATCCCCTCCAAGGGCATAAAATTTATAAGTGGTATAGTTGTGATTCAAATCTATATCTTCTAACTATAAGGCCAGTGTGACTGGTACTCCACTAAAATAGTCTATCTTAAGTTGCTTCTACTTTGTGCCTTGTATTCCACCATGCTTATAGAAGTAATACCTACTTCCTTTTTCTGAAAATTTCTTCTCCTTCTACTCCAAATATATTGTTCCCTATGAAAACCGATATTTTCCATTGTATCTCCAAACTCCTAACCACAGAGCTTTTTTAAAAGAATTTTTCAATATGACATTGTAAAAAAAATAGTAATCGTTTTATTGTTGGTAAAAGTACTAAAATGCAATGCTGAGAATTGTTAATAACAATGTTTTCCATCAGGCAAGTGACTTCAAACTATAATAAGCATTTAGAGTAAATTATAGATAAAAAAATGATAATAAATAAAAAGGATCTTCATATCCCTGATCCCATGTCTTCCTGAGACTCAGTAACAAGGACAGTTTGAATTCTTTCTTGATTCCACAGTCTAGTAAAGTCATCTTCTTGTAATTTCCTTTTTTTGTTCAGCCTACTTTCAGTTGAGTTTCAGTCACTTATAACCAGAGACTATTAATAATTATATCATCTCTGTTACAGATATGTGAATTTTCTCTAACCTAAAATTTAAACTGGAAAATGCTGTTATTAGAATAGCTGCCTCTTTTCCTAAAATACTGGAAATGGAAACTAAAAATGACAGAAAAGTTGACCATTTGGTGAATGGTTTATGAAGTTATTCCCCCTGTTAAGAAGTTCATTTCTGATTTGAAAGTAGGTGAGAAACTAAATTCATTGAGAATATGCTGTAGGATTAATACAGACGCAAGACATCTTGGGGGAAGACTAAATAATTATTTCTACTCATTTATACAGAAGGTTACATGGTGGAAATCCATTTAGACATGTTTTCCTATTCAAAACCCATTTTAACAATCAGCATAAACATAATAAAAGCATACTATGTTACTGTAAACATAAAATTTAGAACTTTCTATGATCTCCTACAAGCCTTCCTGTGGTAAGACACTATGTACTATTAGAAGGCTTGCCAAATTAATACAGGAATAGTAAACCAAATACCACATGCTTTCACTTCTAAATGGGAGCTAAATGATGAAAACACATGGACACATCAAGGGGTACATAACAGACTGAGGCCAATTGCAGGGTGGAAGGTGAGAGGAGGGAGAGGATCAGGAAAAGTAACAAAAGGGTACTAGGCTTAATACTTGAGTGATGAAATTATCTGTACAACAAACTCCATCACATAATTTTACCTATGTAACAAACCTGCTCTTATAATCTTGAATTTGAAATAAAAGTTAAAAAACAAAGCCTATTTATAACACTATCTCCCAGGAAACACTGCACATAAGTTGTATTCATAAGAAGAGTAGAATTCAGAGTGGCCCAGTGGACTAACAAACTGGTGAGCCACCTTCTTACAATAGATAAAACCTGTAATTCTGCTTTCGATCACTCAAGACTGAAAGAATATAACTTATATAGGAAAGGATCTCATGAGGAATAAATTTCATGGTGCCTCTTAAGATAAATAAGTAGCATGTAGTTATAGGAAATCTAAGGTGTAAAAGAATATACATTAAAAAAGGCCGGGCGTGGTGGCTCATGCCTGTAATCCCAGCACTTTGGGAGGCCGAGGCGGGTGGATCACGAGGTCAAGAGATCGAGACCATCCTGGTCAACATGGTGAAACCCCGTCTCTACTAAAAATACAAAAAATTAGCTGGGCATGGTGGCACGTGCCTGTAATCCCAGTTACTCAGGAGGCTGAGGCAGGAGAATTGCCTGAACCCAGGAGGCGGAGGTTGCGGTGAGCAGAGATCGCGCCATTGCACTCCAGCCTGGGTAACAGGAGTGAAACTCTGTCTCAAAAAAAAAAAAAAAAAAAAAAAAAAAAAAAAAAAAAAAAAAGCCTTTGCCAAATATCATCCTTTCTTTTCCAAATATACTATAAATTGTATAGTATGGGCTTGAAGGGATAATATGTCTTAGGAATATTTAATTTGAGTCAGGAAATGAAAGTAAACAAAATAAATAAACCAATCTTAGAAATGATTAAGAAGACATGGAAGAATCTGAGACACACTGAAAAAATATGTATGGTCTAATGAGTTGACAGATCACATTTCCTTTCATATAAAATGAATTTATACTAGATAAGAGACACATGAACTTTATTCATCTCATTAACAAATAATTGCTGGATTCCTTCACTGGAGATGCAGATTTTTATACTGTAAATGAAAGGTGATGTATTTAAAGATACCACTAGATTCTATGAATATTAAATTAGGCACCAAGGATGATTAGAAATGAGTAAGGGCCCGGAGGTCTTCATGTCCAATTAAATAATGTAAATCTCTTTTGATTATATAACCTAAATCCTTAGACAAAGTCATAGTTATTAATAAACTCATAGACAAAATTTATTTTATGGGAAATTTAGGAGTTTTTGTCCGTAGACTTCTAGTACATGCCACCAAACTGACAGGTGACAGTGATTAGTGTCAAAGTGTCTCAAAAATAAATAAGATGAGATGGCCCTATGTTAGTCATGGTTCTTTAGAAAAATAGAATCAACAGGATTTACCCAACTTCAAATTATACTACAAGGTAACAGTAACTAAAACAGAATGGTACTGATACAAATACAGATACACAGATCTATGGAACAGAACAGAGAACTCAGAAGTAAGACTGCACATCTGAAACAATCTGATCTTCAACAAACCTGACAAAAACAATCAATGGGGAAGGGACTCCCTATTTAAAAAATGGTGCTGGAAGAAGTAGCCAGCCATATGTAGAAAACTGAAACTGGACTCTTTCCTTACACCTGTACATAAATTAAATCAAGATAGATTAGAGACAAATGTGTAAAACCCAAAACTATAAAACCTTAGAAGAAAACCAAGGCAATACCATTCAGGACATAGATACAGGCAAAGATTTTATGACAAAAATGTCAAAAACAATTAGAAGAAAAGCAAACATTAACAAATGGGATCTAATTAAACTAAAGAGGTCAGACATGGTGGTTCACGCTGATAATCCCAACACTTTGGGAGGGCAAGGCAGGTGGATCACTTGAGTTAGGGAGTTTGAGAGAGGTCTGGCCAACATGATGAAAATCCATCTTTACTAAAAATATAAGAAATTAGCTGGGTGTGGTGATGAGCACCTATAATCTCAGCAATTCAGGAGGCTGAGGCAGGATAATTGCTTGAACCCAGGAGGCAGAGTTTGCAGTGAGCTGACATTATACCATTACACTCCAGCATGGATGAAAGAGTGAGACTCCATCTCAAAATATAGATAAATAAATAAATAAGTAAAGATAAAGCACTTCTAAACAACAAAATAAACTATCATCAGAGGAAACAGGCAATCTACAGAGTGGGAGGAAATTTTTGTAATCCGTCCACCTGACAAAGGTCTAATATCTAGAATCTATGAGAAACTTAAACAAATTTACAAAAAAACACACAAAAGTGGTCAAAGGACATGAACAGACACTTCTCAAAAGAAGACATTTATGTGGCCAAAAAACATATGAAAAAAAGCTAGGCATCACTGATCATTAGAGAAATGCAAATCAAAACCTCTATGAGATACCATTTTATGCCAGTCAGAATAGCGGTTATTAAAAAGTCAAGAAGCAACAAATGCTAGCTAGGTTGCAGAGAAATAGGAACACTTTTACACTGTTGGTGGGAGGAGTGTAAACTAGTTCAACCATTGTGGAAGACAGTGTGGAATTCCTCAAAGATTTAGAACCAGAAATACCATTTGATCCCACAATCCCATTACTGGGTATATACCTAAAGGAATATAAACCATTCCATTACTTAGAAACATGCACCTGTATGTTCATTGCAACACTATTCACAATAGCGAAGACATGGAATCAACACAAATGCCCATCAATGATAGACTGGATAGAAAAAAACATGGTACATGTTAACCATGAAATACTATACAGCCGTAAAAAGGAACAAGATTATGTCCTTTGCAGGGACATGGATGGAGCTGAAAGTCATTATCCTCAGCAAACTAATGCAGGAACAGCAAACCAAACAACACATGTTCTCTCTTAGAAGTGGGAGCTGAACAATGAGAATGAGAACACATGGAAACAGTAAGGGGAACAACACACACTGGGGCCAGTCAGGGGTTGAGGTGGGTTAAGGGAAAGCATTAGGAAAAATGGCTAGTACATGCTGGGTGTGTTACCTAGGTAATGGGTTGATATGTACAGCAAACCACCTTCACATAGGTTTATCTATGTAATAAACCTGCACGTCCTGCACATGTACCTCAGACCTGAAAATAAAAATTAAAAACTTAGAATGTACATAAAAATATGGAAATTAATAAATATGATTCACTGCATTAAAAAAAGACAAAAACTGCAATTACTTTGATATCAACATAATATAAGGAATTAACAGATATGATCATGGAGGAAGGCAAGTTCCAAGATATGCAGAGTGAGTCATCAAGTTGAAAACCCGAGAGACTCTTGTAGTTTAGTCCCATTCCAAGTGTGAAGGCCATGCTTGCAAGCCAAAAGTCATCAGGCTTCATACCTAGGAAGTTTTGATGTTTCAGTTCAACCTAAAGGCAGAAAAAAAAGGCCTACATTCCAGTTTGAAGGCCATAAATCAGGAAGAATTATCTCTGATTTGGGCTAGGGTCAGACTTTTTGTTCTATTCAAGTTTTCAACTGACTGGATGAAGCCACCTGCAGTAGGAAGGACAGTCTGCGTTCCTCAGCCTACCAATTTAAATGTAAATCTCATCTAAAAATACCCTCACAAAAACACCTAGAATAATGTTTGACAAATATTTGGGCACCCCATGGCCCAGTCAAATTGGCAAATAAAATTAACCATCAGAGCCTGTAGAGGATAATTTAAAGGATGGGATCTTCAGAGATTATTGTGGAATTCGGAAGGCTGACAGATAATAGAATCAAACTACACAGAAAAAATAAAAGAAGTTGGTATTGTCAGCACAGACTTACTCAACAAACAGCAAAACTCCTAGGATAGAGACCTTCCTGAATCGTTAGTGATATAAGCTTATAATACCTGACTGTTGGCTTCCTATATGCCATAAAGGGCTGCAGTTAGACACAGGCTGTGACACCAGAGCTCAGGCCAAGAGCCAAGAAATGGAAGACCAGAAACATATTTTGATTTTAAAAGTTAAATAATTTCTAATAATGTGACTACCTGAGAATTTTCAGAACAGACATTCTAACAAATATTGAGTTATATAATTTATATATAAAAAAGATACAAGATTATGTCAGGAAACACTGCACCAAAGAAGGCTTTTATTACAGGAGATGGGAGGTTCTGCCCAATCTGAGATTATGCTGCTGTGATGTGATTCTCCACTTCACAGGCAATACAGCAAGAAATATGAAAAGAATGAACAAGGTCTTAGAACATCAAGAATGAGAGAGACATAAATGGCTATTT